CTCAAAAAAAAAAAAAAAAAAAAAAAAAAAAAAAAAAAATCAAAAAAAAAAAAAAAAAAAAAAAAAGAAACTGAATTTCAAATTTTATTTAATTTTAATAAATTTAAATTTAAATAGTCACAAATAGCTACCATATTGGCTAGCACAGACTAACAATGTCTCAAAAAACCAACATTGAGGTTGATTTGAATTCTTCAGTACTACAAACACGGCTTTGGTAAGCATTACTGTACTCACATCTTTGTCTTTCATGCCAGCATTTTCGTAGGCTAGATTTTTGTATGTAAAAATGCTGGTTGCTTAGGGTTTGCTTTCACTTTGTGAATGCTACTACACAAAACTGTAAAAAAGCTGTAGTCATTTCCACCAACTATATATGAAAGTTCTCATTTCCCCACATTATCAACAATATTGTGTACCATCTACATTTTTTGTTTTTGAAATTTGATAACTGAAAAAGAAGTATGCCATCTGTTTTCGTAATCAATTTGTTACCTCTCACCCTTCCATATATGCTCCCTGCTGTGTGCCCGCGCCTGCGCACTCAGAGCACCGACAACAACTTCCGGAAACCCCCGGGCCGCGCGGTCCCAAGGCACTTGGGTTTCCGGCGTCTTCTGCGTTTCCGGCCCCGGACTACAATTCCCACAGGCCACCGGACCGAATGACCGTGGGTTTCTGAGGCGCTTTGGGTATTCTCGTGGTTCTTGGACTCCGCGTGTGAGCAGGTAGTTTCGGAAGGAGGCATCGAAGCAGGGAAGGAGACATCGAAGCAGGGCGAGGCGAAGAGGACTTTGCGAACTCATGACCCAGTCGGCAGTGCGGGTGACGGTGGGAGAGGCAGTGAGGCGAATGCGAGCAGCTGAAGATGTTGACAGTGTGGCTGGGTGTGAAGAGGGAAAGGGGTGGGCAAAACAGGGTCAGGCGTCTCCCTGGCCGCGTGTGATGCACCGTCCATGGTGATGACAGACATAGTGTACGTGATGTGTGTCAATATTGTGTGTGTAATAGAACCAAGGATGTGCACTGCCTTTCGGATGGTAATATGTCTGCATGAGAGTGCGCATGACCGGGCCGAGATGTCTTGTGACACATGGAATGGTGTGTGTGTGTGTGTGTGTGTGTGTACGCATCTGTCCACATGAAATGGCCCTGGTATGTCTTCATGACCGCATGTGTGCTCATGACAAAGCAGGTGTGTTTCTCTGTGACTGTGTGACAGACTGTGTTTATGTGTGAAAGAGAAGAAAGTGCTGGGTGTATGACAGGACTGGGATAACTCTGTGACTGTGACACAGGCGTGTGGATTAGTATGTAGCATGACCGCTGCAGTGTGTTTTTATGATGGCATGAATGTGTCCTGTGATATGTGACAGGTCTCAGGTGTATCTCTGTGATTATTTGGTATGAGTGTGTGTATGTGTGAGACCTTCTGTGAATGTGACAAGTCAGGATATGTCTCTGTGACTGTGTGTGACAGGCATTGTGAATGTTTGTTGGTGGGTAGCTTGTATGGGTTTGACAGTATATGAAAAGTATGTGAAAAGTTAGTACCTGTGCATGTTACAGGGCCAGTTGGGTCTCTGTGACATTATCTAGAAGGCTTGTGAATATGCATGTTTTGTGTGTGTCTGTGGAAGTGACAGGGCCAAAATGTATTTGCATGACTATGTGACAGTTCTTATGTACATGTGAATCATAGTACATGCAGTCTGACAGATACTATGTGTGAGGGCATCTTTAGGTTAGACAAGTCAGGCTGGCTTTCTGTTTATGTGTGTGTGTGTCTGTAAGAAAGAGAATTCTGTATGTGTGTGTGTGTCTTGAGCATCTGACTAGTCAGTATATGTGTCTGTGGGACTATGCTGACACAGTTGTGTGTGAGTACCTGTGCACATAACAGAGTGTGTCTTTGTGACTGTACATAACATACTGCGTGCATATGAGTGACAGGTCTGGAGTGGATGTTTCTGTGGTATGTGACAATACTATGTGTTTTAGAGAGAGAGAGTGCATATGACAGGACTGGGTGTATGTCTGCGACATTTTGAATGGTTATGAGGCTACAACTGATGTATGATGTGCTTTGTGACTTACTGAATATATATATATTTTAGTATGTCAAGGTCAAATAAAATATAGACTAATGTCTGAAATTAAAACAGTTTAGTTAAGTAGAAAGAATTGCATTGGGGTATACATGCAGACCAGGGGCTGTTTGGTATGTCTGAAGAACAAAGAAAAGATTAGAGGTTTTATTTTTTAAATGAGAAATGTGGCCAGGTGTGGTGGCTCACGCCTGTAATCCAGCACTTTTGGAGGCTGAGGCAGTGGATCACTTGAGGTCAGGAGTTTGAGACCAGCCTGGCCAATATGGTGAAACCCCGTCACTATTAAAAATACAAAAATTAACTGGGCATGGTGGCGGGCGCCTGTAATTCCAGCTACTTGGGAGGCTGAGGCAGGAGAATTGCTTGAACCGGGGAGGCAGAGGTTGCAGTGAACCTAAATGGCGACCCACCAACATGGGTGAAGGGGAAAGACTTCTGTCTAAAAAAAAAAAAAAAATAAAAATAAAAAGTTAAAATAATTTAAAAAAGAGGAAATGTGTAGACAGGGAGAATGTCACGTGAAGATTGGAGTTATGCTGCCACAAGCCAAGGAACACAAGCGTGGAGCAACCATCAAGGAAACTATCCGGAAGGATGTAAATTCCATTCACACCTTGAGGAATATTTACAAATAACCCCAAATTTAACACAAGCCACCCTAAATTACAGCAGCAGAAGCAACGAATAACAGGACTAGAACACCAAGAAATTTAGGATTATATTAATAAAAGGAAGAAAGAAAAACTATCAAGCCAGACTACTACCAGTCCCCATAATACAGTATATTATATACATTTGTATAATATATATAATACATGTAGTAAACATAAAATATATATAATGTATACATATACAGCATGTGCCTGAGCTAATAATACATATTATACCAACAGCAGTTTCCTGGTTCAGACAATGTACTATGATTGTGTAAGATATTATCATTGGGGAAACTGGGTGAAGATATATGTGAACTCTCCATGCTATTTTTGCAACTTCTTGTGAGTTGAACTATTTCAAAATAAATTATTTCTTAAAAATTTAGGTATTAAATTTATTGGGTACGGGATATGGCAAAAATAAGTTCAACAGAAGGGAATAGGTTGCTCACACCTGTAATCCCAGCACTTGCGGAGGCCAAGGTGGGCAGATCACCTGAGGTCAGAAGTTTGAGACCAGCTTGGCCAACATAGTGAAACCCCTTCTCTACTAAAAATACAAAAACTAGCTGGGCGTAGTAGCAGGCACCTCTAATCCCAGCTAGTCAGGAGGCTGAGGCAGGAGAATCGCTTGCACTCTGGGGGTGGAGGTTGCAGTGAGCTGAGACCACGCCATTGCACTCCAGCCTGGGCAACAAGAGCACAACTCCATCTAAAAAAAAAAAAAAAGAAAGAAGAAGAAGGGAAAAATGAAAAGAATGAAGATTAAAGCCTGTGTCCAGCTTGAAGTTAGAAAACAGAATAACAGAATAAATACAAAGAAAGTTGGTTGAAGTCAACAATAAGCACAAGTTAAAGAAATAGAAAACACTGATTGAACAGAGGCTAAATGCCCACAACTGCTTATTTGAAGTGATCCACTTCTGAGATAATTAAAAAGAGATTATTTTACAAGATGAATAAAAAAGAGAACTGGCACAAATATTAAGAAAGAAAAAGACTACACAAGAAAAAATATTTTTTGAATTAGAATAAATTTGAAAACAGATGAAATGGTCAATTTCCTAGAAAGCTGTAACTTAAAGAACTGACAAGAAGAGATAGAAACTTTTAATAATAGACAATTAGTCATTAATGATATAGCATTAGTAGTTTAGAATTTAAATTCTAATCACCACCAGGCTCAGATAATTGCATGCAAGAGTTGAATTAGGAAAGAGTTAAGACACATCATATGTGTCACTTCAGATCCTCTCAGCCTCACCTGTGCCTGGGGCCTCTGGAAACTTGTTTCTCTTGATTCACTGCTGCAGCAACATTTCTGCATGAACTCAGACCAACTCCACATGGGCACAAGCAACAACAGAGCCTGACCTCATGCCTGCAATGGGCACTACTTGTCTCAAGCCCTAGGGCTTTCCTGTTGATGCTGATGCATGAAATGTTATAGAACCCATTAAACTAGCCACACATGACCTGGAAGTACAGTGGAGTTAGTGCTCTCTGGGACAAACCTCTCATGAATAAGTGATAGGAGCCAATGGATAAATTCACCTCCCTTCTTCTCCTCAGATAGGTGGTCTTAAAATTCAAAATTAAGCAATCAGTCACACGTGATATAAGCAGTGGCCAGCTCAATAAGACCTTCATGCAAACGTTCCCCACTTCCCTATCACACTACACTTTTCTCTCGCTCCTGCCTCCTTGGAATTTTACCTGCTGATAAAATAATAGCACAGAAACTTCTCCGGATCCTCCCTGTAGGGAATGTAAGCTAAGAGGACTGTTTCCAGGAGAGACCCTCTAGATCCTTGTGATAGGATTTTGAGCTTGATTACTTACCAGGTTTGGCCCAAGTCTGATCTCACAGTGAGTTCAGTGAGTCCGTGAACTCACCCTATGGTTGTTTTCCTCTACCCTTTAACATATATTTGGAGCCGGGCGCGGTGGCTCAAGCCTGTAATCCCAGTACTTTGGGAGGCCGAGGCGGGTGGATCACGAGGTCAAGAGATCGAGACCATCCTGGTCAACACAGTGAAACCCCGTCTCTACTAAAAATACAAAAAATTAGCTGGGCGTGGTGGCGCGTGCCTGTAATCCCAGCTACTCAGGAGGCTGAGGCAGGAGAATTGCCTGAACCCAGGAGGCGGAGGTTGCGGTGAGCCGAGATCGCGCCATTGCACTCCAGCCTGGGTAACAAGAGCGAAACTCCGTCCCCCCCCCCAAAAAAAAAAAAAAAGAACATATATTGGGATAGAGATGCTTATCTTCTGGTAGAACTCATTATAGTGGCTTCCGAGATTGCAGAACTAACTTGTGATCTAAGAGTCCTTATAGTATAAAGGGCCAAGCAGAAACTCTTGAAACTCAATAATGTGTCATGGGAGGAATTGAAGACATTGCATCATTATCAAAAAGTTTGAGGATGCAGGATTATTTGTCCTTATCATATCCTCATTCATTTCACCTGATGCCTGAAAAAAAACCTGCATGACTGAAGCTAGTGGATGTGGTAGACTGAAAAAATCCACAAATTCTTCCCATTCCTGTGTGTGTATACTCTTTGCAACATGACTTTGCAGCTCTTCCTTCAAAGGTGGAGCCAGTTTCTGCACTCCTTGAATCTGGGCATGTACATTTGATTTTCTTTGGGTCATTAGTAAATGTGATACGTAGAGAGATTTGAAAAACACTCACCGAATGGAAACCGCTTTCTTTTTGCATTTCGAACCCAACTCCCATGGGTTCAAACAAGTCTGAACTAGACTAAGGGATGATGAGAAACATAAGGTCAAATTATCCTCATGCTCCTCCCTGCCCCCCCAGTAACCAACCAACCGTTAGAAATTTGAGTGAGGCCTGACTATACTATCCAGCTGCAGCCATACCAGCCCAGAGCAAAAGAAGTGCTCAGAAAGCCCCCAGAATTATGAGAAATAATACTTGTAGTTTCAAGCCTGTGAGTTGGGGGTTACTGATTG